ATATATATATATATATGTAACTACCTTGTATTGTTATCCATTATTTGCCCAAATTCTTAGCCTAAGTTCCCCTGCACAGTAAGCACACTGGCACACTGGCTGGGGCTGGAGATAATAAAGACAACTCTTGATGGAAGGTGCTAGAAGCTTAGCTCATCAATCATACCAGTTTTTGGTCACCTTCAAAAACACCTTCCTGCATTGGGGACTCTTATAGAACATAGCTTGATTTATCATTTCTTTCTTATCTTATAGGATATAAACCTAATCATTCATATCTTTTTAAACACTTTTTCCACAGAAAAAAGAGATTTCTATTCATACTTTTAAGACTTACCTTTAAGTCCTAGTTAGATTAGTATGTGTGAAGGTTTATTAGGTACAGTGCTTAGAAATTTAGTGAAGAGGGGCCGGGTAGATGGCTCAGTAGGATAAGTGCTTGAGTGGCAAACGCAAGGATCTGAGTTCAGTCCCCGGTTCTGCCAGAAAAAAGAAATTTAGTAAAGGTGAGAATTCCAACAAAGTTGTATGCCTCCAGTAGGAAACTATATGACTCTTCAAGTATAGTTTTGTTCTATCATGTTTTACTTCCTGTTCACAAGATATTGTCCCCCACCCCATACTGGGGATTGAACTCAGGGCCTTGCACTTGCCAGGCAAGCACTTATTCTACTGAGCTATCTCCCTGGCCCCTCACAAGATAGTTTACTAGTTCTGTATTATAATATATGGAAAAAAGGAAATATTTAATTTTTTCACATTTTTGTTAAGGTCCTAAATATGAAGAACTAGGATATTTATTACTAATTTGCCTTTATTAGATCAAATTAATATTTAAAACAGATCCTAATTTTCAAGATTTCAAATACTTGTAAATATTACAACCAAGTATTATTTTCTACATTTAGCAGTAGGTATTGATCTTGGTATGTATGCTTGTATTAAAACTACACATTGTGTGTCTCTGTTAAAGTTGGCCAGTGAAAGTCTTGAAACAATCATAGCTCAGCAGATTAAAGCGCCTACAAGCAGGCATGGGCATCGGGGGTTCAATCTTCCGGCCTGCTGTGGGCCCTAAGACTGGGCGTGGTGGCGCTTGCCTGTAATCCCAACTCTCTTGGGAGGCTGTAAACAGGTGGATCACTGTGAGTCCAATCTAGTAGTGAGACCCTGAGCACCCTGTAGACCCTTCCCTAAAAATACAAAACAAAACAAAAAAAGAAAGTCTTAAAGCAGTCTAAGAAAAAAGTAAGTTTCCAAGGATTCTATGATGTAGAATCCATTGACTGGGGCTTGAAAGTGTAAACTAGGAATTTCCAGGAAGTTCTCTGTTCTTTAAATGTAAACAGATTCTTGTCAAGGATTAGAACATTTTAAATATTGATAAGATTTCATATAATTGTTTATCTGGGATTCTCCCAGAGATAGAACAATGAACTACTCTTTGTACTGTTGACAACCTTACAACATTGAAGGATTATTGTTTGAGGTTAGAAGTAGTAATACTAACTAACCATTAGTTTGACCTCAGCATTTATATATTTATTGTCTTTTAACCATTGAGTATTTGTTAGAGATTACACAACAAAGCAAGGCTGTAGAATCTTAGAAAATAATTTTTGTGGTAATTTGATTAATTTCTTTAGTACTTTTTGTTTGAATTGTGACTTTTTAATAAAATAACTTTTTTTTCTGATGCTGTTTTTGCTGTTGAGTCTACTTTGTCTGGTGTGAGTGTAGCCACTACCCCTTTCATTTATGAAGGTTAGCATGGTGTGTCTTTCCATCCTTTTATTTTATCCCATTTTTGTTTTACTACTAAAAATGATTTTTTTTTTTTTTTAAACCTTAGGGAAGGGTCTACAGGGTATTCAGGGTCTCACTGCTAGATTGGATTCATAGTGAGCCACCTGTTTACAGCCTCCCAAGAGCTGGGATTACAGGTGTGCTTCACCATGCCCAGTCTTTTTTTTTTTTTTTTTCCATAATTTTATTGAGAAACAAATAGCAATGAGACAGTTTCAAACCAAACTGGAAGGACAGTTTCAATAATTAACACATTGCATACATTCTTCCTAGTGGTTAATTGCTGTACAAGATGTGGACTTGATATCCTATTTACAAACACCATTAGAACAAATCCCTCTATTCATTAAGAGAATGTAGCTATATATCTATCCTAACCACTTTGAATACACAGATACAAAATGGACATTCATCTGTATCCCCTTTTTTTGTTAAGTTCCATCATTTAAATATTATAGGTGTGTAAACTCAGCAAAATATTCTAAAAGAGTTCAGAGGTCCATAATAGTATTGGGTCTTCTGCTTGACTGGCAATGTCAGAAATTGTTGACCTGAGTCCCCTACAGCTCAACATAACACCATGGCTTTACTTCTTATATTTCATTTTTATACTTTTCTGCTGGATGGTTAAGACTAAGGTAGAGCAGGACCTATGCAACAAGAGTTGTAGCTTTTGGGTCTGATAAGGTCAGTGAAATCCCCTCAGGATTTATCCTGAGATTCTGTACCTCAGATTGTAGATCCTGTGTCAGTGTCAGCCATGTGGATGAGTCACAGCCATTGCTTGGCCAGTGTGCTCTCTGTGAAAGCCTGAGAGAATGTTTTCTCTCCATGTGACTCTCCTTAGGTACACTCTACATCATCGATCACTTTCCTCTTTGGCCCCATAATCTCCTTGATCAGAAAATTTGGGACACTGCCGAGTTACATGACATTACAGTACAAGTTCTCATATGTCCTGAGTTTTAAGTGACCTTGGAAGGCTAGGGCCAAAATGTTGGCTTTCCTTGTGGCCCTCCTTTTTCTCTAATTTTGGTCTGCTGACTTAGGTTGTTAACTATCCAGAAGACAAGCTTATTGTTATTATCATACAACCTAGGCTGTTAAGCTTAACCTCACTATCTGTCTGAATATCAAACATCTTAGGTGTAACATGGAACAGGTATTTTTCATCAAGTATTGATATGTTGAACTTTAAGTCCCCATAGAATATGATGAAAAAACATTTTAAAATTAGAATATATTTTTTAAAATAGGCATAAAGAATTATATACTTCTTATGTTTACACATAAGTCCAAAAATCTAACCATATACAACCTTGAAGCAGGACAGTCACACAATACTCCTTTTCCTATCTCTTGCCTTCATTCACCACCCCCTTCTTTTACCATGCCCAGTCTTAATTACAGTCTCAGCTTGCCCTGGGGGGTGGGGCCAGCAGGGAGTGGGGAATGAACCCTTGCCCCTGAGCCTGCTTGCAGGCACTTTAATCCGCTGAGCTAAAAACTGAATTTCTTGTAAGTAGTGTGTAATTAGGTCGTGGTTTTCTTATGCAGTGTGATTTTTTTTTTTTTTTTTTAAGTTTTTTGTCTTTTGATAGATAGGCAAAGTAAGAGATTGCACCTGTGGTCTCAGGCATGCTAGGCATTTCACACTGAGCTGTATCTCCATCCCCATACCCTGCTGATCTGAAAAATCTTGTCTTAATTGTGGATATGGCGTATTTATACTTACGTGATCAGTGTGGTTGGGTTTAGTTTTACAGTGTTACTGTTTTGTGTTTGCTGCTGCTCTTTGTTTCCTTTTAACTCCTCATCTCTTACTTCAGTAGGTATGAATTTTATAGTGCTTGCATTCGGGTCTATGCACTAAATTTATCAAAGTCTGCCTTTACTTAATATGATAGTATTTCCTTACAACATTGGTTTGCCACTTCTTGCCTTGTGCTGTTTTCATATATTTTAATTCTGGGTGTGGCCGTAAGTTCTACAATATGTTACGTTTGCTTTAAATAGTTTCCCTTTAAAGACATTAAAAATAATAATTTGTATTTATCTAATATTTAGGTTGTTTTTTTAATCATTTCTCTATGCAAGTCTAGACTTCATGTCTTCCTTTAGCTTGACCATCATTAAGATTTCTTGTGGTATGGGTCTGCTGGTGGTTATATTCATTTTTAATATGTTTGAGAATTTATTTTAGGCTCACTGATGATAGGGTTTTTGTGTACTTTGTTTCTTACTAGATAGAACTTCTAGATTGATGAGAGCCTTTCTTCCTTTCTATTTTTCAAAGGTACCCTCTCTTCTGGTGCTCTGTCGATGATGAGCGCCACGTTTATCTTTATCAGTGTAACTCTGGCTGCTTTGAAATTTTATCACTGGTTTTAAGCAGTTGGATAGCACAATGCTTTGGTTTTCATACTTTATTGAGTCATTATTTGTTCAAATATTTTCTCTATTCCTTGAGAACTTTTCTTCAGAAAGTATCTAACAAGTTGTGCATTTTATTTGAAGTACTTTAAAGGCGTGTGTTTTTCATCTTTATATAATTCAGATCCTTCCCCCCCCCCGTTCACTTAGCATTCTCAATCTGCCCTTTTTAGCGTGTCATGTGTGTGTATATTCATTAATTCTTTGAATTGTTTTATGTCTAATAGTCTATCTCTGATTTCTAGCCTTAATTTGATTACTTTTCTCATTGTAGAGCATATTTTTCTCTTTTTGGCATGGTTCGTGATTGTTCAAATAACGTCAGGCATTTTTTATTTTACTTTATTGAATACTGGATATTTTTTATTTATATAAATTATCTTGAGTTTAGTAATGTACATCTATACCCCCAGCTTTTTAGGAGAGTGAGAGAAAAGACTTGAGCCTATGCAAACCAGCCTGGCTAAAGCAGTAAAACTCCCATTTCAGAAAATAAAAAATTGTTTGGAGCCAGTTAGATCCTTAACAGATATTTGCTAGGTGGAATCAGAGTAGAATTTAAGATTCTTTGTTTTTTTAGGGCTGGCCAAATAGCTCAGCGGATTAAATCACCTGCAAGCAGGTGTGGGGGCTGGGGCTTTGATCCCTGGGCCTGCTGTGCTGGCCCCATCCCCAGGGCATGCTGAGACTGGGTGTGGTGATGCAAGCCAGTAATCCCAGCTCTTGGGAAGCTGTAAACAGATGGATCCCTAGAATCCAATCTAGTAGTGAGACCCTGAACACCCTGTAAGACCCTTCCCTAAAATGCAAAAAAACAAAAAAAAAGAACCCCCCCCCCCCCATTACCAATGCAACCCTCACCCTCCTTTTGGTTACTCTGCTCCTTGTCTTATGAGTTCAGGAAAATTTTTCACTCTGATTCCTGGTAAGCTTTTGCTGTGGTATTTCTTTCTAATTGTTTTAGGTGGTTGTTTCAATTTCAGTCTGAGGACCAGGGCTGGGCTCACCATGGAGCTTCGTTCCTATGCAGACTCTTCTGGTGCTGTGACCTTGAAACTCCAGGCATGAATCGGGCACCATGGGTCTTATCTTGCTCATGTCCCCTCTCTTATGAACCATGCGTAGACTGCCTGATTACTAGTAGTTCAAAATCCTTATTTCACAATTTTGTCTTATTTTTTATTGTGTCATGTGGGGCAGTAAATGTAGTTCACCTTGGCCAAAAACAAAAGTTAAGGTAGTGTATTTTAGTTTTTAAATTACTTTTTAAAAACTTCCAAACAGTATGTTATTTTTCATATTAATTCACCTTAATCATTCCTTGGAAATGGGAAAGCTCTTAGGTTGTCTAGCTAGCTATTTTCCTGTGGCATTGCAATTCTAATATTGGGAGTTTTATTGAAACATTCAGCCTTTTTTGAATAATATTTAGTAAGCAGCATAGCATGTGTACTCTGTTTAAGGATATATCTTTTGTTCTTGTTTTTAATCTTGATGATCAAACAGAGTGGCATAGTTAGGCATTAATTTCTAATTTCTCTATTTCCTGTAGGAAGTAGAAGCACTATTTAAAGGAGATAATTTACCAAAATTCATAAACTGTGAATTTGCCTATAATGATAATTGGTTTATTACATTTGAAACAGAAGCTGATGCACAGCAGGTAAGTTCATTTTTCTATCACCTTGTATAGTATATAGCTTGCCTATATTTCATTTATTTATTTTTGGCACTGGGAATCAAACTCATGGCCAGTGTGTGTTTGTTTATTTTTGGTACTGGGAGTCTTAACTCAGGACCTCATGATTGCCAGTCAGGCACTGTGCCACTGAGCTGTGGCCCTTGCCTGTGTTTAACATTGATATGTAAAATAAATCTGCACATGCAGATTGTATCAGATCAGAATGTTAAGTTTCAATATAAAGTGCAGAGAAGGGCCAGCCAAATAAATAGCTCAGCGGATTATAAAGTGCCTGCAAGCAGGCACTGGGACCAGGGATTCAATCCCCAGGCCTGTCCTGCTGGCCCTGCCCCCAGGGCCATGCTGAAAGGGCAATTGAGACTGGGTGTGGTGGCGTGTACCTGTAATCCTAGCTCTTGGGAGGTGGATCACTACGAGTCTGATCTAGTAGTGAGACCCTGAACATCCTATAGACCCTTTCCTAAAATGCAATCAATCAGTCAATCAATCAATCAATCAATCAATAAATAAATAAATAAGAGAAACTAGAGTTGTGGAAACTTAAATGGTTGTGTTTTATACGCATTCTGCAAAGCATGTCACGCTACTTTCTAAGGATATTATCGCATAAGCGGTTTAGGAAAATCAGTGATGGTCATATAGCTGGGTGTAGAAGGGTTTTACTATTTACAAAGAATTCAGGGACATTTGCTCCTAACCATAATCTTTTAATGGGCATCATTGTGCTGCAAGGTGCTTTTATAGATATTGAGAAATATATTCCTTAAAGAGACAGAAGGAGTTAAGATACTTATTTCTTTCCCCTTAAAGGAAATCATCTTGTTCTGGCAAAGCAGATTAATGAGTGTGAAGTATTAAATGGTGCAAGTGCAACTGGAAGTACAAAAGGAAAGGCATGAGAACCTAAAAGATAGTTATAATTGGATCTAAGGAAAAATGGGAGCTAAGAAGCACTATGGTTATGGAGCAAACTTTGCTGACCCACCTGAATATTGTTGAAGTTAGATATAATACAGAACTTTTGGAGATATGTAGGAGCTTAATTTAGATTTAATGTGGAAAAGAATAGAGAGTTGTGTATAAATAATAACTATTTAACTATTCAGTTCCTCATCCTTTTCCCCACTTTATGTAGGAACTGTATGACCTCAATTTTAAATAACAAAACTCAGTATTTATTATTTCCTCTAAGTCATATACTTATCCTGTGGTCTTAAGGAGACTTTTTTGGTGTCTATTAATATTTCTAAAATTATATACAAGTCCTATATATGAGAATTTTGGGTAGGGAATTTTCTAGTGTTTATGAAGTTACTTTAAGGTATCTGTGACACAGAGTTAGTGATCATTGTTCTGTGTCCTGTTGACCATATAACTTTATAGTTCCTTATTTGAGTTATGGAACTACCACTTGTCTTATAAGATTAATAGAATAGCATTTTGGATGATTTTTGCCCTTAGGCCTACAAATACCTGCGAGAAGAAGTCAAAACTTTTCAAGGAAAGCCAATTAAGGTAAGCAACGTTGTTGAATATACTTTCTTAATTTTCTACCAAGTATTCTTCAGTATTCTAACAAAAAGTTAAATGTTTTCAAACAGGCACGGATAAAAGCAAAGGCAATAGCTATAAACACATTTTTGCCAAAGAATGGATTTAGACCTCTGGACATGAACCTTTATACACAGCAGCGTTACACAACATCATTTTATTTACCTCCAGTATACAGTCCCCAGCAGCAGTTTCCTCTGTACAGCCTGATTACCCCCCAGACGTGGTCAGCAACGCATAGCTATCTTGATCCACCCTTGGTAAATCTTTTTTTTTTTAACCTTGGAATTTACTTAGCAGAAATTTATATTTTAGACATGTACTAATACTCTGGAAATTTAAAAGCCTAGTCTAATTGAAGAGCCAGATATGTTTGTAGTTTGCTATAGTAAGCTTCAAGTTATGTTGTAAATTTTAAATATAGTTGGATGATAAAGACAGAACTATATGCATAAAACTTTTTAATACTGTGATCATGATTTTTACCCAGTTCATTTCTCTTATCCTGCATTTCCTATCTTGTAAGATAGAATAGAGTAACAACTCCTGTGTAATTGATATCCTTCTTGCACAGAAGAAGTTCGCAAGGGGAGATTTGTTAAGAAAAGGTATGTTAATAGTATTATAGTCCAGGACAAATGCAATACGTGCTGTCTTACAAATTTTCATTTTACTTCTCACCATAGCCCAAACTTCAATTACTAGTGCCTTTTATACACTAAAAAGTAAAAGTAAGTGCCCTTGATAAAACATAGGCTGGAAAGGACAAATATGCCAAGAAGATGATAGTACAGTATATTTATAAAAAAGCACTAAACTTATAATTAGGGGGTTTATCGGGCATTGTTTTCACATAAGTTGAGCTTTTCCAGTTATGTAAGATTTTATTATAAGGGGTTAAAAAGAAGTTTCAAGAATAAATTTAGCCATAAAAGTTTGCAAATAATTATAGATCAGGATGTGTGTCTGAGCTAAAGCATAGATGGAGTATGGGATCATGGGAAGTAAAGTTGGTAAAGTTTTCAGACCAAGTCATGCAGGTTCCTTACACAGTGTACAAGTGCATGTGAACTTTTATCTTGTCACTTGTGGGAAGTTGTCTCATGTTTCTAAGCAGGGGAATGAGGTGATGTTAAAGTCAGATAGGAAAGAAGAATGAGTTAATAGAAGTTTCAGAGGGGCCTTTAATCTTCCAGAATCCTGGAATTACTACAGAAAAGAACGTTTGCCGTGCAAGTGGCTAAAATGCAAAGTTATTTCAGTTTCTCTTCTATCTCTTTTTAATAGGAAGAAAATGTACTACTTTTTTTTTTTCTTTCTTTTTTTTCTGGCTTAGCCACCCTGAGGGTATGGCACAATATTAACCTCAGTCCCCTGAGCCTGCCTAAGCAGGCACTTTAGACTGCTGAACTATCTCTCTAGGCCCCAAAAATGTACTACTTTTACAGAATATTACTACACTCTATAAAAATGTACCTGTGTCTTTATAGTTCTTTATCACAAGAGAACCTTAAACCAGCTGTCCTTCTTAGCCCCTTGCTATTATATAGTATTTCTTAACCATGGCTAACTGCCGTGCTTTTCCAATTCCACTTTTCCTATAGTCATCTGCTCTTCCTGTTTCTGTAATCATTTTTTTCTTCATCTGGACTGGGCTTTCTTGGAACTTTGATCAGTTACGCTCTTGACTTTTGTTTTTACATTCACGTCACTTTTTATTATGACCATGTGGAACTTGTCTAGGGATATGAAATTAGGTCCCTTCATCCAAGCCTTTTGTTTTTCTGAGATGGTATGTGTTAATTCCTAGAAAGTTACAGTTACATTACTATTACACCATTTTATTTTTAAATTTTTAAGCAAAATTAGTTAAGCACCAGAATTCCATATGGAAAGTTACAAATATGAAACAATTAGTCTTTATTGGTCTTATTATGAATTAGAATCTCAAAAACTTAGGCCTTAAATGTAAGTCCTTCTATTGTATTATATTTTTAAATAGTCCATAGTGAGTCTACTTGATAAAAGTGTTTCCTTCATGTTGCTGTAAATTTTAAAATTGATGAGTGAAAAGTTATTTTAGTATCCTTTTTCTATTGTAGGAGTGATAGTAAACCTTTTAGAGCTTTCAATGATCCAAACAGCCCGCTGTGACACGTGTTACTGTAGTATAGCTTCCATTTAACTCCAAAAGAGAATTACTTTTTTCTTTTCTGTCCCCTAGATTTTGAACATGGGCAGTTTTCATCAATCTTGTCAAAATTTAGGGTGGGGACTGGAGGACTCCATGCAACTAAATACCTTTAAAGGAATGTCAGTAACACAGAGAGTATGTGAAACTATTATGTCCAAAAGCCAGAAAATTTAATGATCTCTATTTTCTGTGTCTAAATTTTGAAAGTGCTTGAGTGATGTTTAGATTTCTATGCTTAATATTTTTAACTTTTTAAGATTATGTTTAGGATCATCTTCTGAGTGATCTGTGACTTAAAATTTTTCTTCTGAACTTTATGTTAGTAAATTTATAGGCTATGTGTCATTTTAGTCTGACTTGGGGAATAATTACTAATGATCTGAAAACATACTGCTCTTCAGAGCAATACTTCATGGAAGTAAAGGTTAAAAAATAGCATTCTCAAAGGCTTTGATGATGAAGTATGCAGAGTTACCAACATTATATAAATGTTCTTATGTTGAACTTTGGTGAAATTTATGAAGGTCACTGAAAATTAAAAAAATATTTTACTTCTTATCAGGGAGAAAAGTAGTGTTATTAGTATCCTTTAGGTTAAGCATTTGGACATACTGAGTCAGTTCCCATATTCAGAACACCATGTGATCTTCAGTAAGGTTCTGTCCTCTTCTGTTTTTATGTGCAAATTTTCTTCTCCATTGTACTTATGAGGATTAACAGATGAGGCAGAAAAAGTTCTTATTAACAGGCTGTTGGGAGTGTTCAGGAAATATTAGCAATTAATAACAATCTTACACAATGCACATCCTTGCTTAAATTTTTCTTTTACTTTTTTCTTTTTTTAAAAAATTTATTTATTTATTTATTTATTTATTTATTTATTTATGTGTGTGGCCAGCTCAGCCCACCAGGGGGGCGGGCTGGCTGGCATGTGGTGCTGGGGGATTGAACCGTGGTCCCTGGGCTTTGCTAAAGCTTGTTCTAAGTAGGTGCTTTAGACCACTGAGCCATCTCACCAGCCCACTTTTTTTCTATTTTGCATGTTTATATGTGGTAATCTAAACAAGTCATTTGAAGGTAATATTATGTAATCCAACAATAATTTTTGAATTCCCATTAGTGAAGTTCTATGTCGTTTCTGATATTTTCATTTCTTTTTCTTGTACCATTTTGTATTGTCTTTAAAAAATAAAATGTTCCTCTTACCTTACATCTCCTGTTAAGCATAATTTGGAACATTATGTTTCTGGTAAGAAGAGGAAATAAATTATATCAAGATAGAATAATAGTATTAACTAATTTATAGTTTATTTGATGATGTGTTTACTTATTTTTAATGAATTTAGGTAACTCCATTTCCAAATACTGGATTTATAAATGGGTTTACATCTCCAACCTTCAAGCCTGCAGCATCTCCTTTGGCTTCACTCAGACAGTATCCTCCTAGAAACAGGCAAGTTGTAAAAATGATTCAGTGCCTACAAGCTTCATGTTTTTGTTTTTTTTTTTTTCAGTAACTATTGTTGGATACATCTGACACAGTACTAATCAAGAGTAAACATTTGAAACATATTACCTATGAAGTCTGTAAAGGCTAAGCACCAAAATCAGTTGCTTTCATAAAGGAGTAGATTGACTTCAGAGGTTTTTGGGACAACATGTACCATGAATACATGCCTCTGATTTTAACTTAGACCTGGACTAACAAACTAGTGAGCCAGTGAACCAAACCAGTGAATCGGGTGACATATGATTGATAAATTTGCAGTATCCTATGTGTTGTATGTTAACTATTCTAAGCAATGTTTTTATATTTATTAAATTCTGTAGTAGCTTTTAGCTTAGATATTTTGCATTAGCATGTTCACTATGTAGCACCTTGACTGCTTATTTGAACATATGCAAATATTTTATTTATAGGAATCCTAGTAAGTCTCATTTGCGCCATGCGATTCCTAGTGCAGAAAGAGGACCTGGGCTGCTAGAAAGTCCTTCAATATTTAACTTCACTGCAGATCGATTAATTAATGGCGTCCGGAGCCCACAGACAAGGCAAACAGGGCAAAGTAGAACCCGAATACAAAACCCTTCAGCTTATGCCAAGAGAGATATTGGAACTGGGCGTGTGGAGCCAAGTAGTCTTGAATCCTCTCCTGGTTTAGGGAGAGGAAGGTAAGTTCCTTATACGTTTTGTTGTTTACCTATCAGAAACTGTTAACATTTTTAAGTTTCCTTATTTTAGTTATGTTTTATAATTATTTTCTAATCTAGCTCAGAAATTTGAAGTAAAAGCTAGAAATGTCAAATATTGTATATAATTGATGAGAATAGTTACTTTCAAAACAGAGGCTTAACTGGTTTTTTTGGTTTTGTTTTTATGTGGCATGAAATTTTTATTCTGAGAGAACAGTAGATGGAATT